TATCCGCCGTGCTTATCCGGGAATTGTTTATGGCCCTGGTCATGGCTGTGACAAAAAGCAACCGCGACATACATCACTCGAGTTGAGACCCATGCGGCTGTTTGGGCTGGCGCTCACAAATCAAAACCAACTGAATGGCATTGCTATTACAAGGTTGGAGGCCATCGCTATTAGGTTGGAGGCAGTACTGAGTTCATAGATCAGTTCTCACATTCAGCATATCCTCAGCTTTCAGGTGTCCCAAGCTGGAACGCCAAAGGCGCACCTTCTTAGCTCAAACTTTCAGCTGAAGACTCCAAATGTTTGACCTACTGATACATCGCCTAGCCTTTCCCAGCAAAAAGGTGCAGCGGTTTCTTGCTCTAGTGACTCTAGTGGTATCCATAAGTCTCTCAGCATGGCAATACATCCTCTTAGTTGAAGGTTGATGCGCCCAGCCAAACGAAAACCACTGGATCATCTTGCAGAAGCAGGGACCTGAAAATACCCCTAAAACGAAAGCCGGGGATATTCTTTTGCAGCTTCAGGTGGCACGGTGGCACATGGAGGTGACTATTAGGTCCTGCCGGGCATTCTCCGGTGCTGAAATGACCTGCACTGCACTGCCAGGGCTTCATGGTTGCTTTCCTGAATGCGCTTGCCGCACCCTCGAAAGCCCGGCGGCAGAAAATGAAATCGGCCAAGTTGCTGAACTCGCCGGTCCTGGCGTCAAGAACGTTTTTCAAAGCAGCGACCACAGAGCTTTCGGAAACATTGAGACCCACCACCCCAAGGGAAATTCCTCGAGAAAGCGTTCTTTCTTGGCTTGCTGGGGGCCATCGGCAAGCCGAATAATGGATCTCTAAGCCTCAGCCCCTGCTGGCTTCTTCTGGTCTCGCCTCCCGCCACGAGGCCACGACTCGACACAAAACCACCCGGTCTCGACAGGTCCGGATCCCGTCCACCAGCCCGGCTCGGTCTAGTTCGGTGGGGTTTGGCCAAGGGGCTAAGGCCACATGCATGGCCTGTAGCCCAAAGTCTCGTGCCCTGGCGAATGGTCGCCCGTGGACTGGGGTTTGGGGGTGCGAGTGGGAGCCAGTGGGAGCCATGGAAAAATGGAGACATGAGGCAGCCAAAAATGTTACCATCTTGCAAAGAAGCAAACACATTCTGAGGTCTCTGAGTCTGGAATCCATGGAAATAAAATATGGAAAAAGAAACAAGAAAACATGAACCCCTCAGGCGACACAATGTACTTCAATGTTGTGCACAAACTGTATACTGTATACCAGGTGACTAGGTCAAGGATTCTACATTGGTCTCATCCATCCCAACACAGGTACCACAGGTACCACCCATCTTCCAAAAGCCGCTGTGCCGGCCGTGCCTGGTCCAGGTGACGGCCATGAAGCTGGGCGGATCACGCGGCAGTGCCAGGCGTGGTCCGCCGCGGCGGATCACGCCCCTGTTCGTTCAAACGGAGTCGGTTCCGTGGTTCAATGGGAGGAGTCTTGGTCCTGTGAAAAGGTGCTTTGCAGTAAACTTTGCAGTGGAGTTTTTGGAAATGGGACATGAAGGCCCTAGAGGTGAGGTGACCTACGGAAGGGTCTGTGTCTTTTTCTTTCACTTCTTCGAACATGCTGTCTTTTTTCTTCACGTGAGCTCCATGGACTGATGATGCATGGAGAATGAGTTTGTCAAGAGTTGCTATGTGTGAAGAACGTCGTCTACACAAAGGAACTGTGTGCATGTTGGAGTGTACAGAGTAGTGGCTCTACAAGTTGCAATTTTCGACAAAAGCTCTGCTGGTGGAAGGACGTGACGCTATGAACTCAAGTAATTACTTCTGCTGGCAACTATTGACAGTCACGACCTGTATGTATATTCAACTACAATACTACAATGTTGCCAACGGATCCATGTCTGTGCTAATCTGTCTGTCAGATTTTAGGGAACTACCCCATGAAGTAACTTAAGATAAGGATTCAAAAGAGTCGTGTGCCCAGTTTGTCATGTCTGTGAGCAACTGTCAACATGAGCATCTTTCATTGTTTCCGAATAATGTTGACACATGTTGTATACAGGTCCCCATATTCAGGGTGATGCACTCCTGTGGCTGGCTCAACTGCAGCTCCAGGTCGGATCCCGGGCTGGTTCACATCTGTCGATGTGAAGACGAGAGCCGGTCGGCTCCTCCTAAAGGAAGCACGGTGAACAGCCTAATTTAAATAACACGACTATGCAAAGATGGATGGATGGACGGACGGACGGACGGATGGATATGATGGATATGATGGATGGTCGGATGGAGTGGGATGGGGATGGATGGGGATGGATGGTGGGATGGAGTGGGATGGAGGGATGGGGAGGGATGGGGTGGGATGGGGTGGGGGGATGGGGATGGGTGGGATGGGGTAGGATGGGGATGGAGTGGGATGGGGATGGGGGTGGGATGGGATGGGAAGGGGGACGTGCAAAGAATACCCCTGGTAATACTGCTGACAATACCCTCAAATGCTATCGAGAGGGCCAAAACGCAAGGCTTTTTGAAGCGGAGGGGGACATATTTAAGCGCAAAGGATGATACCTTCGGGCTGATAATTCACACAGGAGTGTATTTGCAGTGACTGGCTTTCACAATTCAACAACCTTTGAATCAACAGGGCGACGGAGTCCCAAGGTTCCCTGGCCTGCTATACTCGCCCTCGTCTGTGCTGGAGTCCGAGTGAGCATACTCCAAATCCTCCAAGGCAAAATGATGCCCACATGCAGACGTGCCAAAAAATACAAACTGAGTGTACTCACCAATCTCGGCTCCAAAACCAAATCAGGAAGCAGCAAAATCTTCCTCACCCTCTGGAACATCGAAATGATGAAAGAACTGACCGGGAAAGGCTGAGCACCAGTGGTGTCAACCAAGAGAAACTAGGCAGAATGCCGGTTGTTCTACACACCCATTGATGAGGTATTCCTTCTGTGGTGGACCCTTTGATCACTGACCACGATGATCCTTTAAATGATCAGTCCGATGTCACATCGTGGACCAGGTGTGGCAGAATACCGGGCCGCTTGAAATGGGCATGGGTTTAACAGTATTCAACAACAAAAAATGTTGGGATACATGGAATTCTGTACCTAGCCTCATAGCTTGGTCACAAAGAGTTACTGTAGGTTGGGGAGCTCATGATGGTGGTCCTACCATCGGGGCAGCCCACATTCACTCCTCAAACACAAGATCCACAAGGATAGAACCTCCCCCAAACCACAAGAACACCACCAGAAGTCAAGGACACACAAAAACACACACGACCACACACAGTGTGGTACTGAAATGACTGAAAAACTTGGGCCCTGGAGGGCCCTGGAGGGCACCTCTGCATCGCTGTGCTCTGAGGGCCAGGAGGCATCGCAAATGGAGGGCACCCGTGGCGGACGTGGCGGCCTCGGACCGTGCAGGGCCACCGAGGTCCGGCCTCGATCCGAAGAGATCCCAGGTCCGGCCGCACCGGGAAGAGGTTTCAGCTTTGCCCGCTACGTTCGTAGCGAGGCCAGGAGCGGCCCCGTTCGGTTCACGTCCTTGCTCCGAGGAGGCGATGCCCTTTGCTCCTGGTCCTGGTCCTCGTAGTTGATGGGATCATGTGGGAAACAAACATTCGTACCTGGTAGGTAGAATCATAAGCCCGTCCATTGCACATGAACAAGAACATGCCTTATAAGTTAGGTGTGTGTGTGTGCGCGCGTGCTAGCTGAAAAGTTTCAGCATTGGGTCTAAGATGGTCTAATAGTCTTTACACATGTCAATCTGCACGCAACTGCGCAACACACACACACGTCTACAAAAGATGGAGCCAATGTCGAGCAATGAGAGCTGGATGAGCAAGCTTCCCACAAGTTGGTGAACACAGTCAAACACACGAACTATTCCTGTATTCCGATTTGCCCACAGCAATGAGTGTGCCAACAGGGCAAAAGTACTCATCGTACTGTCACCTTTGGTGTTTCCGCTCGGGTGAAAGTGGATGGTGTAAAAGGCACTCAAAATCATGGCCCGGTCTTTATTTGGACACTGTCTTTATTTGGCCACTGTATTAAAATAAGAGTGTGTAATTCCAAGAGTCTTATAGGGTTCAAAACCTGACTCTTGGCTTTAATCACCGCGCCTCATGTCATGCCTTCATGCAATCATTCTTATGGGTTGACATTTCAAGTCGTGTAATTCATTATTGTGATCCGCTTTTTCTCTCTAGGACCCTAGGTGTGCTGGACCATTCTGAAACACAAACAGCTCTGCTCTGATTCCCTTTTGGAGGTTGAACAATCCCAAATTCAAAACACCAAAACAACCCTCTTTGGGAGATGGACGCTGGCGAAAAAGAGGCGCGCGTCTGGGTCCTGGGAAAAGCCATCAATGCCAAGGATCAACAAATGGTTCTCGCCGCGTGGCATGGCGCTTTGGTACACCTGTTGGCACCTTCCTCAACTGTTGCACATACTCTTGAACCTGCCCCTTCTCAATCGTCAATAGATCAACCTGTGCAACTCTGAAGCACGGGTTATTTTTGTTTGACTTTCATGCTTTCGAAGAGGTCTAGGATTTCAGCGCACACAACAGTCAGTGGTCAGTGTCAAAGATCTTAAACACCAAGTCCCAGTGTCCTGATCGCGTTCTTCCAAGACAGTCATCTGCATCCAGTACAGCAATCTTAAGGAAGGTCTTGACGAGGACTGTTTAAAGGGATCTTTTAACGGGATTATAAACGCACCGTGATCAAAGGCGGCCGCCCGTCTTACACGTTTGGGCCCAAAACGCAGTACGGGAACATGGTGTGAATCCAAATGACATGCTGTTGTGAAGAAAATCCGAACAGGAAAGCAACATGGGGATCTATATTAGAAGAGGCAACTCCCCGTGATAGCACAACAAACAGCCAAAACAACAATTGGTTGGGGGTCTCCATCGTCTACTACACTACAGCCCTCTCCAAAAGCATGTCAAATCCAAACGGCATGTCTTTGTGGGCCTCTGCCGTGGACAGTGGTGCTGCCATTGTGACAACCTGAGCTATGCCAAGCTGCAAAAACAAAAGCAACTGAACACTTGTGCCGAGTCGATGCTCAGCAAACCTGTAAGTTTTTCGTGTCAAGTGTTGACGGGCTGCGAGGGTGCTGGCTACACAATTTAAACGCAAACAAGTATATATATATATATATGTGCATGTTGTTTTTCGCTCTGCAGTGCCTGTCATTATGCCATCGTCACGAGAATCGGGGCCGCGCCACAACAAAAAAGCATTTCTCAGAGTTGCCACTTTACTCTGGAACACCCCTATCTTGAAAATCGAACGAAAACAATGTGTTCATTGTCTTAAGGTGGACAACCTTACTCAGAACATGTTTGTATATAATAGGACGGTTCTCAACCGCACCATGTGCAGGCATTGTCGTGTTGGTTTTTACTTTGGCAGTTGTTGGTTATGCATTTCATAGCGACCCGTTTCATAAGCCAAATTCAAAGCGGGGTCGGACAATGTTCATTAATGTGTCCAACTATCGATGCCCAGTCATTCGGGTCAATGGTTGCACGTTGTGGCCCACATGAGTTGTTGAGTCCCCTCACAAGGGTGCTAGAAACATCAAAACAAAGACATGTTACATGTTGCAGATGCAACTATACTAGTGGCGCTGCAAGCATGACTACGCGGTAGAATCTGAGAGTTGCTGCTCTATATATCTCTCTTCACGCAGGTGGTGGTTTCCAGCCGTACTTTGCATATGCAACCTTTGACGCCGATCCAGACAGTATCAAATTGTGATGTTGTGTCCAACACAGGTTGCGTTCAAATGCGGAGGTTTTGAACAAACAAATCATGCAGTGGTTGGTGGACAACATCATGTGCCACTGTGGAACTTTGCATGCCCAGCTCCATTAGTACAAATATGATGAACATTGGCCGATCCCGCTTCAGTGGATACTATGTGCACGGCGCAGAAACACTTGCGGATTCATGCACGTGGCATGCCAGGAGGATGGCGGTGTGCAAAAACAAAGTCTTTCACAGGTCGAATGTGTCGGCCTGTTTGATTGCTTGTCACTTTTGGTTGGTGTTCTAGTAAATGTCTGTCGAATTTGAAGGACATCAAGCGATGTCAAAAAGAAAAACACACAGGCCACTTTGGATTGCTTTTGTTTGAGGAGTCCATTCATGTTGGTCAAACTCCAACTGTGGGGTGAGAGAGTTCTGATCCTAACGACCAACGTGGGAGGTGGAGCCAAAGCGGGCTTCATTACAAACATATGAAAACGTTAGACCATATGAATTTTATATATATATATATATTTCCACTCCCTGCCCTGGCACTAGCTGCACGGACCTCTGCAGTCAAGTGGCATGCTTGAAGACTCGAGCCACAGCGAGGAACTCCTAGTCTCTGTGGATTCCAAGCGCACGGTTTCTGACCAGAACTCACGTAGAACACCCAAAGGATATAAGACCTTAAAATACCTTGAGTCCATTTAATCAAAGAACCTTCTCTCCCTAGCCCGCACCTGTGACTTCCAACTGATGCTTGAATGGAGGACGGTGTCCCATGTCAATGTCTGATGCTTCTTAAATCTTCTAAGCATTGTCTGGTTGCAATGTCCAACGGCGATGCGGACAGGAATCCATTGAAACTTGAAGCAACATCAACCTCAGTTAGACACACCCTCATGAACCATGGCGATCATATTAGCGTCAATTATCGGGGAGACTAAGCCTTTGCAATGTCACAGTCGGTCATATATGGTTCAATATTTAATGCAATGCTTTGACCCACCTGATCGACAAATCAGCTGAAACGGTCCCAGGATGTCCCAGGATCCAATTTGCGGCACCCCGACCTGCTCTTGTAGAAGCGGATCTTTGACCTCCAGAGGCTCACAAACGCTGGGGAGGTCTTGACGGTGTATTCACTCAATGAAGACCCTTGAGGTCCAGAATTTTGATGGATATATGGGGACTGCTGGCCCGAGCCTGGTGACGGGACCGCGTTCCACAAACATGCATTGACACATGTTGGGATGTGAACTACCATGCATTGCAAAACATGTGTGGATCAAAACTCTGCTGTGGGAGCTTGTGGTTTCGGTTGCCATGTAAGGCGCGACAACACCAGGTGCGTGAAGGAAGCGGCACCTCAGTCGTGAATAGTGGTGGCAGCTGTTACCAGCACGTACCAGCATTATCGCTACCAATACCAAAAGAACAACCAAAAATGAAAACCAAAAACAACAACAACAACAACAACAACTAGTACTAATAATAGTGCCATCGACCAACTAAAAAACTACCAACTACTACCTACAAACTACAAACGACAACAACAACAACAACCACTACTACTACTACTTCTACTACTACGACTACGACTACGACTACGACTACTACTACTACTACTACTACTACTACTACTACTACTACTACTACTACTACTACTACTACTACTACTACTACTACTACTACTACTACT